TAGCTGCAAACTTGTACATGCTGAAGGGAGAGACTTTGGTAGAAGCAGAAGCCTCTGTTGCCTCATGTAGTTCAGATTCGGCAATTCTATGGCATCAGAAACTTGGACAAATGTCAGAACAAGGAATGAAAGTCCTTGTGGAGCAAAAGCTACTTCCAGGCTTAACAAAGGTATCACTTATCTTGTGTGAGCATTGCATAACAAGTAAGCAACACCGGTTGAAATTCAACATGTCAAATTCTAAAGGTAAAAGTGTTCTAGAATTGGTTCAGTCTGACGTATGGCAAGCACCGGTTACATCTCTAGGCGGAGCAAAATACTTTGTCTCATTTGTTGATGACTACTCTAGGAGATGCTGGGTGTACCCTATTAAGAAGAATTCAGATGTGTTTTCAACTTTCAAAAACTTCAAAGCGTGGGTGGAACTTGATTCTAGAAATAAGATCAAGTGTTTCAGAACAGATAATGGAGGAGAATACACAAGCGAAGAATTTGATGACTTTTGCATGAAAGAAGGCATTAAAAGACAATTTACTGTGGCGAACACTCCTCAACAAAATGGAGTGGTAGAGAGGATGAACAGAACCTTGTTAGAAAGAACAAGAGCAATGTTGAGTGATGCAGGCCTAGAAAAATCATTATGGGAAGAAGCAGTCAATACCGCTTGTTATTTGGTGAATCGAGCTCCATCAACTGCAATAGAGCTGAAGACACCAATAGAGATGTGGAATGGTAAACCAGTTGATTATTCAAACCTCCATGTATTTGGAAGTATAGTGTACATGATGTACAACTCCCAAGAAATTTCAAAGTTGGATCCAAAATCCAGGAAATGCAAATTCTTGGAGTATGTTGATGGAGTAAAGGGGTATCGCTTGTGGGATCCCACTGCCCGCAAAGTGATCATCAGCAGGGATGTTATCTTTGTTATAGAATGTAATATTGTATACTGCCTTTTAACAGAGAACGGTGAGCCATCAACATACCAGGAGGTAATAAACAGCTCAGATGCTTCACTGTGGATGATGGCGATGTAAGAAGAAATCGAAGCCCTTCATAAAAATAATACATGGGACCTTGTGCCACTACCACAAGGAAGGAAGCCAATTGGTAACAAATGGGTCTTCAAAATCAAGCAAAATGGTGACGATCAAGTAGAGAGGTATCGTGTAAGACTGGTGGTCAAAGGATATGCTCAAAAAAGAAGGTATTTATTTCAATGAAATATTTTCTCCTGTGGTTTGACTAACAACAGTTCGAGTAGTTTGGCAATGTGTGCTACATTGAATTTACATCTAGAGCAGCTAGATGTTAAAACAGCTTTTTTTCATAGAAATCTTGAAGAAGAAATTTACATGCTCCAGCCTGAAGGTTTTGAAGAAAAAGAAAAGAAGAACTTGGTTTGTAGGTTGAACAAATCTCTGTACGGTCTAAAGCAGGCGCCGAGGTGTTGGTATAAGAGATTGATTCCTTCATTATGTGCCTTGGATACAACAGACTTAATGCAGACCCTTGTGCTTATTTCAAGAGGTCTGGTGATAACGATTTTGTTATATTGTTGTTGTATGTGGATGACATGTTGGTTGCAGGACCCAACAAAGATCATATTGAAGAATTGAAGGCACAACTAGCTAGGGGAATTTGAAATGAAGACTTGGGATCAGCAAAACAAGATTCTAGGGATGCAAATTCACCGAGACAGAATAATAGGAAGATTTGGCTTTCACAAAAGAATTACTTGAAGAATATCTTGTCAAGATTCATCATGCAAGATTGTAAGCCAATTTTACCCCTCTTCCTATTAACTTCAAATTATCCTCCAATAGTCCTTAAAGAAGAGATGAAGGAGATGTCTCGAGTACCGTATGCATCAGCAGTGGGAAGGTTAATGTTCGCTATGATATGCACAAGACCAGACATTGCACAAGCAGTGGGAGTGGTTAGTCGGTACATGGCGAATCCAGGTAAAGAGCATTCGAATACAGTAAAGAGGATCCTGAGATACATCAAAGGGACCTCAAATATTGCATTATGTTACGGAGGATCAAACTTACTAATCAATGGGTATGAAGATTCTGACTATACAGGGATTTTGATAAAATCAAATCTACTACATGATATGTGTTCAAAGTTGCTGGTGGAGCTGTAAGCTGGGTTTCAAAATTACAATCAGTTGTGGCTACATCCACAACAGAGGCAGAATATGTAGCTACACAAGCCAGTAAAGAAGCAATTTGGTTGAAGATGCTATGAGGAGCTTGGGCATAATCAAGAGTATGTCTCTCTGTTTTGTGACAGTCAAAGCGCCTTGTATCTAGCAAGGAATCATTTCATTCAAGGACAAAACACATACGAGTTCAGTACCATTTCATTCGTGAAAAGGTGGAAGAATAGACAGTAGATATGTAGAATATCCATACCAAAGACAACATAGCAGATTTCATGACGAAGGCGACCAACGCTGATAAATTTACTTGGTGTCGATCCTCTTGTGGCCTGTCAGAGACGTAAGCAACATGAAGGTACAAGGTAGAAAGAATGGTGTGAAGATATGATTGTTCCAATCAAATCTTCAAGTGGGAGATTATTGAAAATCAAATGTCAAATTTAGTGGCTTTGGTGGTTGCAGAATTCTTTGGTCAAAAATGGCAAATAGGGAATGGCAAATGGGCGGCTAATTCTAGTCCAAAATATTGCAAATTTATTGATTTTTGTATGGTAAAATTGCTAAAATTAGTCATTGTACTTTAGGGTATTTACAAGATTAGTCCTTAAGCTTCAACTATAAATACCCTATCCCATTTAGCTTCAAAATCATCCCAAAGCATTCTAGCTTTCTTCCAATACTAGAGAGAATTTAGAGAGTTTCTTGAGAGTTGTTTTCTCCTTTTTATCAAGAGAGAATTATCATTGTTTTCTCTTTGGTAGATCAAGAGAAGTTGTAATTCCTATTTTTTCATAGTGAAATTCTTCTATCGTTGTCCGTGATTTTTACCCTATATTATTTAGGGGTTTTCCACATAAATTTTGTTTCTCTTTTATCTTCATTTTTATTTTCTCAAATTATAAGTTGCAATTTTGCTCTATCCGATAGCCGTCTTCCGCAACAATCCGCCCCTTGGTTCATCCTTGGTTATGTGGTTTAAATACAGAGATTGTTCTGAAGATTATAAACTCCTACACTTTTTGTTGTAAGGTTGCATCAGCTGCGCTGCCGTTGATCGGTTGATATTTCTACAAAATAATCTGTGAGGCTGCATTGAGGTTAAAGGCTGCTAATCTTTTGTACATAGTTGAGAAGATCTAAATTGTGAGGACCTCTTTGGTACCGTAAAGCATACCATTTCTATTTTTAGTCTATATCGGAGTGACCATGGAGGATTTCTTTATTGGCACCCCTCTCTTTGGTGCCGTATTTGTTAATGTGAGCCTAAAGCTAAGTTTATATTTAGAAAGAACGTTATGGTCGATACATGCGCACTAATTAACCCTTGTTCGGGGAGATCTGATATTTGTAAAGCAAGCAGTGCTTTTAGTTGTCTTTTTATTTGTTTTTAGGTCTTTCTTTTGCCCATTGCTTTAACTCTGAACATGATAACCATCGACATAAAAGTTGAGCTGGATAGCTGCATGTGGTTTTACAAGGACATAAAAGTTGGGTTAAATTCACAGGCTGGTCCACGTTATATTGGCTTCTTTTCAGACTGAATCCATGTGATATGCTTTTCCAGGCTTAATCCATTGCGACCAACGAATCCTTATTTTGCACACAAAACATCCAACTGGTGAAGACAAGACGAAAAGCAAGAAATTGGTGAGTGTGAAGTTATGAGAAGAAGAAACAAACAACAGCTATGGAGCATTACCTGAATTGGGTTCAAGCTTTAGCATACGCTTGGGGTTTCATGTTATTGGTTGGTCTCGTTTGCTGTTTCCTAAGCACATTCACACCAACACTGTGACACTAACGGCGGTTGTTCTTGTGACGACGGACATGCCGGTGTTTGATACTGCTTTCTCTTCATCTTCCTTTGTATAGGACATTAATTGATTTCGGATTTTCCTTGTTTTTGTGTCTTTTAGTTCTCGTGATTCTTTTAATATGCAGAGCTAAATCGTGCTTTAGAATTTCGTTTCTTTTGCTTCTAAAACATTCAGGACTTTGAGTTGAGTTGCAGAGTCAAAACTGCTGAATTCAGATCAGAGGAAAAAACGTGCATCTTTATTGACAAAAACGGTGAAATGGGCCGGCTTATGTATCATACACAGAAAATTAGTTATTATTTTAGACTAAACTACTTCAATGACCATTTAATAATGAGATTAGTGTTAATATAAGTATCATTTTTAAAATTTTATCAATATGACCACATATTTATTTAATTGGTATCATTTAAGCCACATTCCGTTAAAATCTAACAGAGGAATGATGTGGCAATTACCAAAATTTTGTGTAATTACACATTGATCCTAGGATAGAAATGGGTGCTCAAGCCATTAAGCCATCTCCTTCATTTGGTTAGTGATTACACCAACATTTATTTATCTCATAATATTGTTAATGATATAAAAATAAAAATATTCAAACTAAATATTTTTATTTAAAAAAGTTTAATATTTTATTTTTTAAAAATTAAATTAAATAATTTTTATATTTTTAAACAAAATTTATGGAAGAAGTCATATAATATAAAAATATTTTTCTGTTTTAAGCATGTTTTAAATTTATTTTTAAATGTATTTAAAAACTATAGTATTTACTTTTTGTTTTTGTTTTTTAAATATTTTTAGATTTAGTTTATAAAAACTCTTAGATGATATTTCCTCTCTTCTATAGGTTGTAAGTTCATTATCCATTATGAGCAAAATTCACCTTTCCATTCCCTGTAGGTCGAAATTATTCAAGGGAAATAAATAATATCATATAACATCAATGGTTAGGTGAGTGTCGTCTTCTCTAGAGATCCTGAGTTCGAGCAACTACGTTTATAGAACGTGTACGCATATATATAATTATTTTCCCCCGTTGTTCTATATTTTGGGTCATGTACCGTAGCTCCGATCTCCTGCATCTCCAAGTCCGGGGATTATAAACCTGAAAGCATGGGAACAACAGCCATCAAATAAACAATCAATAAAGCCAACTCCGGTGGAAAGGCAGAGCTTACCCTTTCTCATTGACTGTAGGATCAATAATTCCAGTATACACATGAAGCCTGAAAATCACAAAATCTTGTGAAAGAATTTTAAATGCTATATTTTATAGGCTAAATATTAAGATTAATATATATTGTATTTAATGTATAATATTATTCTATATGTTATAAGATATTTATACTTGTATATATACGAGTAATGTTGGTGAATAAAATACATGAAGGTATTATATTCTTAACAATTTACATGGTATCAAATGCCCTAAACTAAATTTTAAGAAATTTTTTCCTTGTTCATCACTATTTTCCCCCTGGGATGATTGGGGTGTAGGGTATTGTTGAAATTCAAAAGGGCAGTTTTGGAGGCTCCACGTTTGACACCACCAGCACAGGGAGGTCCATCGTGAGTCGTTCGACCAGATTACAAAATTTGATTGACAGATTCCCAGCACGTGAGCCACACACGCTGCTATAAGTGGTCACCAGTATCAAATGCCCTAAACTAAATTTTAAGAAATTTTTTCCTTGTTCATCACTATTTCCCCCTGGGATGATTGGGGTGTAGGGTATTGTTGAAATTCAAAAGGGCAGTTTTGGAGGCTCCACGTTTGACACCACCAGCACAGGGAGGTCCATCGTGAGTCGTTCGACCAGATTACAAAATTTGATTGACAGATTCCCAGCACGTGAGCCACACACGCTGCTATAAGTGGTCACCACTTCTTTATGCGTCGACGAGTGAGAGCACGTGAAAAGGTATTTCGATGTTGTTTTCTTCCTCCGTTGTTCACCTTCTTATTTCAACCAACCCATGTCATTGGTTCCTTCTTCCGGTTTTTTTAAATGAAAAGTTATTCCGGTGTCATTTTCTTCTGCAGTTGTCGCCTTCTGATTCCGACCACACCCTTGTCATTGGTCTTGTTTCTCCTGTTGGCATTGTTGGCTACAGGATTCGGTTATTCTTGTCCTCTGTTTGGATACATATTAAGTCTCAATTTGGGTACTAGTTTTAGTATTGTTGGCTACCTCATTTGAGGTGTTCTAGCCTAGTTCGATACTGTTGGACCACCACTCTTACACATCCCTTCATTAATCATTTGATCCAAGTCTATTGTAACTATCTTTTAATTGATATCTATTAGTGAACTATCTTCTATTAGAACATGGTCTTAGTTACTTGTTGGTAAATGAACCTGTTATTGGAACATGGTTACATACAACCTGATGGCTCGATTGAAAGCTACGTTGTTGCTAAAAGTTCTTATAAAGTGGATTATCATGAAACTTTCCCTTCAACTACTAAATTGCTTATGTCATAGTATTATCTCCCTGCAACAACTTTTGGTAACCTTTACATCAACTAACATAGAATGTGTTCATTAATGGTGATCTTCAAGGCTGCATATGGGCGCAATGACCTAGTTTTTTGTGTGAAAAAATCTCTATTTGACTTGAAGCAAAATCTCAAGCTTGGTTAGAAAGTTCGGTTAGGCTATTGGGAAATTCAAGAAGCACAAGAGCAAATCAGTCATTCTACTTGATAAAAAAATTGTACACGTGACTAGAAGAATTTCATCTTTCAAGTCTTCTCCGTGCTTAATTTCATACCAAAGATTTGAGAATGTTAAAAGACTTATTGGGTTGAAGCTAACAAGAGTAAGAATGAAATCTTTATATCCCAAAGAAAGTATGTGTTTGATTTACTATCAGTCAGAAAAATTTAGTGTTGAACCATTTAATTCTCTAATAGTTCCCAATATATAATGGACAAAAACGGTGATAATTGCAATCTTGAACGGTAGTCAAGAAAATAGAGTGCTAACCCATGTAAATTCTCTAATAGTTCCCAATATACAATGGACCAAAAAAAGTGAATTATTTGCAAATCCTGAAAGCCACGTAAGCCATTGAAAAGTTATATCATCTTACCATAACATGTCATGATATTGCTAATTCGGTAAGAGTATTGAGTTAATGTATGTATCACTAACTGTCGATCATTGAAAGACAGCAGTGCAAGTTCTTCATTACTTGAAAAGTTTTGAACATAAAATCCTATATGACAATCATGGTCATATTAGGATCAAATGTTTTCAGACTGGAATTGGACAAAATGTAACGAAGATAGGAAATTTATTTCAGGATATTGTGCTTTTGTGGAATGAAACCTAATTTCATGGAAGAATAAGAAACATATTGTGGTATCATGATCTAGTTATAAGTTGAATATAGAACTATGGTCAAGTTTGTGGTGAAATCATTGGATATATCACTCAATGAAGTGAGAATTATGTTTTCATTACCTGAAAAACTATGGTGTGATAATCAAATTACGTTTCACATTGCTTCTAATCCAATTTTTCATAAACGAACAAAACACCTTGAGGTTGATTGTCATTTCATTCACAAAAAGATCCAACAAGATTTGATTACTACCGACTATGCAAAACGTAGAGGACTAATGGTGCGTTTGGTTCACGGAATGTAAGATTACCAATGGGAATATAAGATTACCAGTGGGAATGTAAGATTACCAGTGGGAATGTAAGATTACCAGTGAGAATGTAAGATTACCAGGAATAGGATTACTGAGAATGTTACATTACTGTGTTTGGTTTGTTTGGAAGTAATATATGATTACAGTGTTTGGTTGAAGGAATATGAGATTACTGGAATGTATTTTTTACCAAATTGTCCTTGTGTTATATGTGTTAACAAGTGGAATTATAAATTTAAATTAAAATATTCAATAAAAAGCATAAAAAATATATACTTATATTATTTAAATTTATATACTTTTAATAAAATTTATATATAATTATTTTTAAAATTTAAAAGATAAATAGGTAGAATAAAGAGTAATATATCATGTATTATTTTAATATAAAAATATTATTTTACATTAATTATCTAAAAATATATTAAATTTACATCATGATTTAACTAAATAAGCATATGAAGATTTTAATAGATGAATCATTTTACTCCTAAAGATTACAAAGCTAAATTTATAATTTAAACATTTTTTTAAAATCAGAACAAAAGCTAAAATTTATATTTATTCATTCAATAATTTCATCATTTTATTTTGAAGTTCTTGATTGAGGTTATTATTATTCTCCCTTAGAGTGGTCTTCATTGTTGTTTAAAATATGTTCTAGTTTGTGGTGTTGCAGAGTGGATTTGAAATTCTCGAAGATTGATGTACAATTCGAAAATTTGACTGTTGAATTTTTTGTCCATGTTTGGAGCAGAACATTAACAACCATTCCCAATTTAATTTTTAACATTGTCGATGTAACAATTAATCCCTTTTTTAAAAGCACATATAATGCTTCTATTTCTTGTTCATCCCATTCCAGGAATGCTCTGCCATCCCATTATAGTAAAACAATTTAAACCAGGCTTACATGGAATAAGAATCAACCTAGTATAAAAAATGAAAATTGAGAAGTAAATAGGTGTTCGGAACATAATTAAGTAAAAGTGCAAACTGAAGGATAAGAGATAAGCTTACGTTCTTTGTTTAGCTTACAGGACAAAAAATAAGTATAACATTAACCATAAAAAACAACAACAATGTTCAGACTTACAAAAGATAATAACCATGACATTCTAAACTTAATCATATATGTTGGCTATATTATATACACAAAAAATTCTCCAAGTCAATAGCTTCACATATACCTAGTGAAGCTAGACAAAAAAGTTGGGACCATATTCTAAAGTCAAAATCAAAAAAGATCGACATACAATCTCCATCATTTGCAGTTGTAAAATAAGAATTGTATCTGCAGGCCATTGAAACCACATTGCCAGTTGCCAAGGTTATATCCCAGAACAGAAGTATATTTCCAAGGAATGACTTACTGCCCCTAACAGCAGAAAAATTCAGGATGAACTACCTTGACATGTCAATTTTTTGGCACTTTCCAAAATCCAGCCAGAAGCAGAACAACATACTTCTTCCACTTGCAGCAGCAAATTTGCCAAGTATTTGCAAATTCAACCATTCGCCCCTGTTTGGAATGACCATTCAAAGATCAAATCATTCAATCTACATTCAATTTTTGTATAGCTTGAAAATGATGGGGGGAAAATTATTTGGAAGACAAATTTTAACAATGGCAAAAAGATACAGTTAGTTCACAATTGAATTTCAAATGGCATTGTGATCCCTCAGTCAGGACAATCAGAAATGACCCAGCACTCGATCTAAAAGTAGTCATTCATTGCTTCAAGAAGGTATTGAAAGAAAAGAATCCATTAGCATAGGACACCAATCCAGGCACTTAACTATATAAATTCAGAATTTTATAATGGGGTTCCCTGTATCGAACTGACTAATCATTTAGTTAACACAGTTGCTTTCTAATAACAATCAAATAAAAATTAACAAGCAGTTTACAAGTAAATTCAATGGTTGTTATCCTTCTAGTTCAGTTTTAAGTAGTAAAACGGCCTTAAATCGATGATGAGTATTCAATGTTAACCGTCTCAGAAGGTCATGGCAGCAGAACATACTTGCAATAGGAAAATATAATCGAATCATTCTAACTATAATTGAAGCAATACCATAACAACCAGAGACCGCTGTTGGAGAAGAGTGAGATGACTGAAAGACGATTCGTAAGCTGAAGATCAGAAAGGACGTACTCAAGTTCTAATATATTAGTCCAAGCTTACTATAACAAACAATATGAAAGGGGAGTAAAGTGAGCACCTTCGAGAGGAATAGCAAGGTCGCCGCAAGGAATAGGGTATAAGCATCGTTTCCAATGCAGGGAAGCACAAAGGGATCATCTAAGTATCCAATTCTCTCAGCTTTCATTGATGCTGCTAATAAATCCACTGCTAGCTGCCCCACATTCCAATCGACAGCGCCGGCTAAAACCCAAAAAACAAAAAAAAGTTCAATTTTTTAATTGAAAACAAGAACAAGTACCCTAAGGTAAGGAACTGAGGGAGGGGGGAGGACAAACGCTGAACGAACCAGAAGCAAAGTAGACAAACCTAACAACAGATTAGCAGATAGAGCTAGAGCACCACAGAAGAAGTTCGTTGGAGCAGTAATGGACAGATCTTCGCAACTCTTGCCAAATCGAAGAAGAAGAAATTTTGTTTCAGCTAGAACCAAGCTAACGGGAAGAAGGGTAATTTAGCCAACAGGACGGGAATAAACAAATACCTAAGGGAGATGTGGTATTTGGATTCCCAGTTAAACAGAACAAAAAAACCACTGTTGGTATTTAGTTTTTACCCTCACTTGGGAATATGACCTATCCAATCATGGGTATCTTAATCCGGGAAAAAAATTCCTCCTAGGAATGAAGAAATCCGTGAACCAAACGGGCTGTAAAAGATTTCACAAAGGCTCTTAATGAGGTCAGTATTGATTACCTATATAGCAAGCCAAGCATGATTAATTTATATGCTCCAACTTGAGGGAGAGTATTACATATTTAGAGACTAAATATTTGGGTTAATGTATGAAATAAATTAACATACTATAAGACCTTCATATACTTGTATATATATTTATAATGTTAATACCAAAATTTTCTATAAATGGATTTTTATATTCAGACTTTAATTACCCGGGGAATTTCTCGCTCAACTTTTGAAGGGCTGGAGGAGCTGCCAGAGCTGATATCTATAATACAACAGCTCAATTCATTAGTAAAGTGGCATAAATAAATGTATAAAGAAAACGACTAATAAAAATAGAAAAAACATAAACAATTTAATCATATCTGATCGAGAGTTTTCACAATCTATATAAGCTTGCAATGTGGGCAATTTAATAACTTAGGCTCCAATGCAAACAGAGGCTCAACCTAAAAGAATAGAGTAAAGGTTTTTGCTAGTCTAAGAATCATGATCTTCCAATATCTTTTATGTATCGGAAGAATAAGAGAATAGAAGAAACAAATCTAAGCATTTCAACCTGAATCAACGAGAATTTGATATCATAAACTAAATGCATATTTACAATGTACACAATACTTAACAAAGTGGATCAACTGAAATAATTCATGAATCAAGTATTCCAAAGAGCTGCAAAAATGTAAATTCAACTTGAAATTGAAAGGATTCTTTCAATTTATTTACCACTTTCACTTGCTTGTTTTGAATTCCACGTTCCTTTAAGAGGTTAAGTGCAGCCACAATTGTGCCACCTAAAATTTTTAACAAGAAAATTACCAGAAGTAAAGCAATCACTTAAAACACAATGGACACATTTGTGATAATTTGCTATGAAATGCTACAACGATAATGGTTATATTATCCCAACTTCGAATACATAAATCAATGATAATTTTTTCTTTTGTTTTCTTCATTTGAATCTTGAAATAAGTGGGAAAATGACAGAATAGATTTATAGTTATACAAGATAGACATGAAAAAAAATTTCTAGAAGTGAGACAAAGATTGGAACCTGTTGCCAACATAGGATCTACCAAAAACACTGGTGATCCTTCAGGAAATTTTTCAGGCAACCTACAAAGAACATTAATATATGTTACATGCACACCCCAAATCGAAATTTAGCACCCAACAAAAAATTAAGCCAGCAGCAAAGTAGAAGGGTAGAACAAACTGATCATACTAAAATGCTATAGTATACTTCAACTAGAAAGCATAGTTCCAATAGATCATGCTTCAAAACACTAAGGGTTAGATCCAGATAATACCAAGAGAACTGGAGTTCTTACTTGTTTAGATAAACAGTTGGCAAAAGTGTGTCTTCGTTTCTGCTTGCCCCTACATTCATATAACCGCAACAAACCATAACAACTAGGTTGGTTGAGCGCATATAGAATGTGAGGGATAAAAGTTAGTCTTGAACAACGATTTTGCAGCATCTTAACCTAAATGATATGTTTTTGTAGCTGGCAAAATGGATGATGCGTGTTCAGCCAGAGCAAGACCAGCTCTCAAGATTGGAACAATCTGAGAAACTAAAAGAAAAAGGTATTAGATACCGACTTAACACAAATTTCTGCTCGATGAAATTCATAGACATCATGAATAAAAAACCTGGAGAGAAAACTAAACGCCACAGGTTCCCTTGGATCTATAAATTCAACTGAAGCAATAGCCATTGGCGATTGAATCTCCCCTGTTACAGTAGGCTGGCAGCAGAAAACCCAAAGATATATAACTTCCAAATGATAAACGCATTCAAAATGCCAATAAAATGTAGAATGAAGATAAAACAAAGAGATTTTTTCCCAAAACAGAAAGGAAATGCATTCACGCTATAATAACTTACCAACCAATCCCTTGAAGCTTCGTACATAAGTAGCCTTCCCAACTCAGCCATAGCATTTCCTGATAACAACAAAGAACAAAGACTGATATAAAGATCTTATCATATCATATAAATACTTAATAAGATAAAAGTTTGCAACTGACCCAGATGATTAAAAGCTAAAAGGAATCAAAATTCAAGGTAAATTCGAAAAGCACTCACTGAAAACGGGGCAAGGAGTTTGCTCATTTCTCAAAACCGAAATCCAATGCTTAATTAACGGATGTGGAGGCACAAACACCTATAAGAAAACAAAATAAACCAAACTCAAAAAAGTAAACTATGTCGTTTTCTACGGAACAAGAAACAAAACAAAATGAGAAAACCGACAAGCATCCTATCCTCTGAAATAGACTTCTCTTCGGTGGCCATGTGATAATTCGCCGTCACGAAACCCATCCGTCGCCTCCGCGGCCACCCAGAAGTCAATAAAGAAAGCTTTTAAAGAAGAAGAAAAAAAGGAGATATCAGTGGAGATCTTGATGAATAACGCATTTTTTTTGTCATGTTACCAAAATCAAGATTAGAAATAGAGGGCGGGGACTGAAAACTAAGATGGAATAAAATTAGGAAAGCACCTTGGAGTGGAGTTTAAAAGGAGGAAAGAGAGTAGGGTTTTTGAATGAGTGAGATGGGGGCACGAAAAGCGGCGTATCGGAGGCAGAACACCGGAGACTAACATTAACACGGCAAGCCATGCATCCGATGATTTCGATCTCCTCCACCCAAATTGGCAATGTTTATGTTCTCAAGTGTAACTGGAACTGACTTTTACGTTTGCTTTTTGCTAGATAAGACTCCTCCCTAGTTTTTTGTCCTTTTTTGGCTCACTGTTGCCCTTCTTCTCTAAATTCAAGGCGGGTATCTAATTTCAAGAGTTTTAGGTTTTAGTCCAACGCGCATAATCAAACGATCTCATAATTTAAAAATTATTGTTTTCACGTGATATCTTAGCTTCAAATATATTACATTATATTCATTGTTAAATAATTAATATTCCTTTAACATATTACATTATATTTATTCTAAACTAGTAAAAAAATTTAATCCAATAAACTTGCTCATAGCTTTTTTTAAAAGAAACGTTACACATTATGATAAAATTGAGGATTAATAGACAAAATGTCATATTGTATGAATACTTATATAGATATCTATTATAATTAAAATATATATATTAAAAGGATTTTGATATATTTTATTATTAAGATTTTAATATACATAACATGTTATAAGTACTTAAAGAATTGATAAATGTTGATGTCGAACTATACGACTTGTTTTAAGTCGACTTTTTATGTTTTCTTTTTCTTTTTCTTCCTCTCCTAATTTGAACAATCTAGACTACTGCTAGCACGTCGGCCATCACCGTCAGAGTCTAGTGACTCTTAAAATTTCACACCGAACACATCTTATCATTTTGAACATAAATTTGGTGTCCATTTAATCGAAAAATATCTCAAACTCTATATATAGTGTTAATACCACTACCAACGTATGCAACCATGTTCCTTCTTTCACTATTCGCATTGATACAAATGCAGAATGAAAATTTTCTCTCCCTTTTCGCTTTTCAATTCAGATCTTCATGAAACCAAACCAAAAGTTGCCTAAATCAAGTAGTTCTGATATGTACCCTTTCACCATCCGAGTGAATGAAAATAGATCAGTCAGCAAGTATTTTGAGAGGAATTATCCGTCTTGTGATATATTCTGGCCCCACGTGGAAAGGTTCTGGAAAGATGGGTGTTTGTGGTTCCTTTCGCTACGGATGGGAATTCACCTTTGAAGAGAGTGAAGGCATGAAAGAGATCACTGCAAAAAGAAAGAGGCTTTGGTTTATGTTTCCGAGTGGACCGAGTAAGATTATGTTTCGAGCAATGCAGTGATCATTTTCTTTTTGTACTTTGTCTTATCTGATGAAGTTTAAATACATGTGGTTGAATGAGCAAAAGAAGTAGGCTGGTGTTTCTCCTGAATCTTCTATGTAAGAGTTCCTCCACATTACCATCTTCTTCTCATTCGATGATACTTGAATACAAGGAGACATGCCTTCTTAGACATTCCAAATGAAGAAGAAATGGCTTAGAAAACCGTCTATTATAATCCACGTGCTAGTGAAATTTATTTGTGTTGTGTTTCATTATGCAACTATTCATAAAAAAACAGCAGTGTTTCTTCAAGACATTTTTTATCACTACGCAAGATACAACATTTGGGAATAATTGAAATATATCCCGAAATTAAAATCATTAATGTTGTATTTGAATAAATTCGGAAATTATCCGAATAAATAGTCATGTTTCATTATGCAGCTATTTATAAAAATAGTGGTGTTTTTCATGCTTGTTATCCTATTAACTTGGGATGAGTTTTTCTATTTTCCTTACACAATTCATAAGTATCCTACTTTGAGTATCAATTTCTCATTTATCACTTAATGTTTTGAGCATATGAAATACTGTTGTAAAGGTCTTATGGAGTAGAATATGAATAAAAAAAAATTCATCATTCGAATCTCTACTTTTACTTAGAAAATATGACTCAAAATTTCTAATTTATCATATTTTTCCAAAAAAAAAGTAATAAAAAATATCACGTGATCACAATGTTAAGAGAGGAAAAGATCGAGTTGCCAAAAAAAAATTAATGTTCAAAGTTGAGTGCTTCAAAACGTTGTGTTTGGAGCCTTGTTACTGTGAACCAGCTCATAAGAGATTGGTGTCTCAGTTGCTTCCCCTTTTTTTCCTTTCATCAACTTTTCCCTTTGTCCACGACTCAGTAACTTAAAGCAGTTAAAAAAGATGTACAATTCCAGAAGAATATAATACAAACACACATGCTAACTAATCAATACTGGAACTTTCCCCTGCATTGTCTTCTGTTTAGAGAAAGTAAAGCAAAAACATAATAGAATCTAAATCATCTCATATTTCACCATCCCACAGTTCTTCAAGGCTCTTGTAAGGACTACAAGTTGGATGTACTGCGGATTCCCCTCGCAGGAGTCTTTGCTGCAAAAGAGAATCGAGAATTCTTTAGTATGCGCTCATGTTTGTCCATGTGATGATCCAATTTTTTCTCTTTTTTTCCAGCAAAATAGAAACATGAGATGAAGGCATGTTTACCTGATGGATGCCCGAGATTTTCACAAAGAGCTCCGGAGGTATGGACCAATCAAACAGGCTCAAGTTTTGCTTGATCCTAGACTCGTTCACACTTTTCGGAAGGACACTGTGACCGCTATGAATACCCCATCGCAAAGCAATTTGTGCCGGAGACTTGTTAAGTTTTTCAGCAATTTCAACCAAAATTGGTTCCTTCAAGACTTCTCCTTTAATCCAAGACCCTGGAGATCCTAGAGGGGAAAATGCCGGCAGAAACATTCAAATTCATAAGATTCAAATGCAAAGAATCTGTGTATATAACACGAATAACACAACTGAAATGAAATCAATTCCGCCTTATACCGATAGATGAACATCGGTGGACTTGCACAACTCGTGTAGCCCAGGCTGCTGCCAAACAGGGTGGCATTCGACTTGATTGACAGCAGGAGGAACTTTGGCATACTTCAGCAAATCCTGCAACTTCTTAGTCGAGAAGTTGCTGACTCCAATGGCTCGAGCCTTACCGGATGTATACAAGCTCTCCATTGCAGCCCATGTCTCGGGAAGACAAGGGGGAGCCATGTTTTCAGGATCCCATCCCCTCGTACCAGGCTTTGTACGAAATGGCCAATGCATCTATATGTTATGAATGTCACGTTTTAGGAGCATTTCAAGCAATATACAATGTGAAAATTGAGCTAAAACAGCAGATTCTCATTGATGACTTCAGCGCTAAACATACAAGATAGAGATCGACATAGTCAAGTTGTAGATCTTCCAGAGTTCTTGTCAATGCTTAGGGGACGTCTTCAGGTAAATGATCGCAACACCTTTTCAAATTATAGGAAATAAAAAATGGAATCGAATTCACAAATTGGAAGCAGATTCTTAAACATTTTAACATAAATCAGCGTTTTACCATAGCTTTGATGTGATGAAGATTTCATTGCGCTTCACCACTCCAGAGGAAAACAGTCCCCCCAATGCAACCCCAATCTACATTCTCAAGTTAAATCTGTAAACAAATTGGTAAATCATAAAAAAGGGAAATCTTTACCTCTTTTTGGTTATCATAAATATGGGCACAGTCGATGTGTCGATAACCGGCCTGCACCAAAAAACCCTCCATTAATATGAAAAGCTGGAAAAAAGAAGAAGAAGAAGCAATAATTGAAGATAAAAGAACCTTGACTGCAGTAATCACAACTTCACCAACAACACCGGGAGAAGTTTTCCAGGTTCCCAAACCAACAGAGGGCAGCTTAGCTCCAGTGTTGAGTTGAAAATGAAAAGGGCCATGCCCAGTTTCCATATCCATTTTTCCGCGACGGTGATTAACTGCAACTATTTTATTGCAATGCAATTGAAAATTTTAGACGATTTCGATGATTATTATAATACCTCTGGCGGGCACAGGATCACGATTCTTTAGCTTTAGACCCGGGAACTCGTGGTTCAGTTTAACCCGGTTTGGTAAATGTCAACGTCTTATACCCTTCTTTTGACCCTATAGTTAAATTATCAGTTTAGTATCTGTAATTTTTCTGGCTTAATTACTGGACTAATCGTTTTTCTTTTATATTTATACACTTTTACTCATTAATTGTAAAAAGTTAACTTTCAATCATCTAGGTTATCGATTTATTAAATTTTGGTCACTTATATTATTATTTGGTGCATTTTTGTCGCGGATACGTTAACTCTTGTTAGTTTGATAATATGGAAAATTAATCAAAAGGGGTTAATTTTTAATTTGATCCTCAAATTTTAGATATAATACTAATTTGACAAAGGTCATGCAGAATGGCAGTTGCTTCGACAGCAAAAGCAGATGGAATGGAAGGGCAGAGTCATCGAGATGGTTATAGCACAAAAGCCTCATCGTCTCGGGACAATGGCTCTTGTTATGGCCCTTCTATTAGCGGAGACATAGCTATCGTCAACTTTCACTTTCCAATGAACTTCTTGTTCTGGAAGGTTTTGTTGCACCCGAGTTGTAAGGAGAGCTCATTCATAACAATATCGACAAACAAAGGTAATGATTTCTTGGAACCTTTGTCTAATGTCTTCATGATGTTTATTCCTTGCTGTCCGTAGAGCCCAAATGAGGATCAAAATTTTTGTTCTACGGGCCCCTGTAACATGATCAAAAAGCCACTTAAGCCAGTCAAGAAAAGGAATGGTTGAGACTGAAGAAGGCCAGGAAAATAGCAAAACAGACCAACAATTAGAAGCTAAAATGCAATCTCTAATAATATGAGTAGTGTCTTCGATTATTGAACTATAGTTCTGACAATACCGATCATTAGCAATTCGCTTTGCGTATAGATTACTCTTTGTTCTAACATAGTTCATGAGGAATCTCCACACTTGTATTTTCCCTTTTTCAGGCTTTTCGGTTTGCCAGAGTGCTTTAAAAACTGATTTGTCATTTGGATGCACAGTTATAGAATCTAACAATAGTTTGTAACCACTTCTCACTGTATAAGTCCCTGTGTGTTCTCCACTCCATACTAGCAAAAGGAATTTCTAAAATCGCTTGAACCTCGGCAGTAGAAAATAACGCTTTAAGTAAATCTTCATTTAATCTTTCCCCTCCTGGTTGAATCAACTCTGTGACCTTTCTAACTTGGTTTGTTTGGAGTAGATTGAATCTTGATAAGAGAGGTCCCCGGCAACCAAAAATCATTCCATATATCAATGGATGTTCTAGAACCCACCCTCCATTTAAGACCTATTTTAAGCAGTCCTTGAGTGCTCCATATACAACGCCAGATTTGGGATGAACAAGACCCGAGTTTCAAATTGGAGTTAGGATAGTATTTAGCTTTAAGGACCCTTGCAACTAAAGAGGAAAGATTCGGAATGAGTCTCTAATCTTGCTTTGCTAATAAAGTGATACTGAATTTCGCTAGATCCCGGAAGCCGAGTCCCTAAACTTCTTCAAGCAAGCATAAATTCGACAATTTACACCAATGTATCTCCTTTTTAACATCGTCTTTTTGCCACCACAAGCGAGAGGTAATAGACTCAAGCTCATAACATAGAGTTTTAGAAAATAAAAAAACAACTCGTAGCGTATAAAGGTAAAGCTTGTAAAACTGACTTTATAAAAATTGCTTTATCTCATTGTGACAAAGCCCGGAGCTCCAACTTTGCGATCTTTTCTCAAAATGACTCCTCAAATCAGCAAAAACCTTCTTTTTGTTTCTTCCAATTAACGTGGGGGACCAAGGTATTTTTCCAGGTAGGATGTATTTGAGACCGCCAGAATGCTACTGGCATTGGCTTTATTTTCTTCTAAAACATTCGATCCAAAAAACAAGCCAGACTTTTTGTAGTTAATTTGTTGTCCAGAACTACGAGCATAACACTGGAGGATTTCTTTCAATTTAGAAGCACCGATTGTTGTAAAGTCACCAAAAAGCAGGCTATCATCTGTAAAGAAAATAAATGTGTGATGCTTGATGCATATCGGTTGATTCGTACTCCACTGAACTCTTTTCTGCCAGCATCTTGGCAAAGAAGCTAAGATAATCCCTCACTGCAAATCAAGAATAGAGAAGGGCTAAGGGGATCTCCTTGCCTTAACCAACGAGAAGGATAAAATTTCTCCTTTACTTCCCCATTGGTAATGACTGAGTAAGGCACCAAAGAAGTGCATCGAATAATACAATTTATTACTGAACGTCAAAGCCCATTTGAGAAGAATACCTTCAGGAGAAGCTCACTCAACACGATCATAAGCTTTTCTCATGTCAAGTTCGAGAACAAAGTGGCCGTGTATTCTAGTTTGGTGATGTTGAAGACAATGAAGGATATCGTATGCTATTATAATATTGTCTGTGATAAGGCAATTAGGAATAAAAGCACTCTGAGCAATGTCGATACATTGGGAAAGGACCTTCTGAAGTGTGATGGTCACCATATTGGACACTATCTTGAATAAATCGTTGCACAAACTAGTAGGCCTGAAGTAGATATATTTGTGGGAGAATCTACTTTCGGTATTAAAACGACGTGGGTATGATTAATTGCTTCAAGGGAATATTCTCCTCTTAGTAAATTTATGCAATAATTTGATATTTAAATCCTTCAAGTGTTACTGTTACTAATTGAAACTTATGGACTTCTTATTTCATTATCATTTAGAAGGGTAGACAATAAATACCTCATAAATAATATGTGCACTATAATATCCAAGATTTAGTAACATCCAGGTAGACAAAAACACCGAAATTTATTTGCATGTCGACATCGATTTCGAACATCTTTCGGTTCAGATTTCACCATCCCAGAGTTCTTCAAGGGTCTTGTATGCACCAGAAGTAGGGTGTACAAATTCACGGCCTCTAATTAGCTTCTCCTGCAATGGGGAGTTCACATGATTCAAATACTTATCTGAATTGGGATATCTTGTATAAACACAACATATGCTATCATGATAAGTATCAGAAAATGAAGGTTTATAGGGAGCACAAACATGAACCAGTCTGCAGTAACTATACACATGTAAGAGAAACAACGAAAGGGAGCGAAGCAATGATAATGACGACATGAAGTTAACACTTGCCTGTTCTATTTCAGAAAACTTGGCAAACAAATCTTCATGGATAGACCAGCTAAAAATATCGAGATTTTCCTTCATCCTTGACTCGTTATAGCTCTTAGGCACAATGCTATGGCCCATTTGGAGTCCCCAACGGAGAGCCACCTGTGACGGAGATTTCCCCAATTGCGCTGCAACCATCTTGAGAACCGGGTTTTCCTGGACCTTTACCCTTCTATTATTTCCACCTTGGCTACCTAGTGGTGAATATCCCTGAGATCAAAGAAATTAACATCCGTTACCAATACAATCATCTTGTTCAGTTTATTCAAATTGGTTAGAATTCAAAAAACATGAGAAAAATATGTTGTTTTTAAATCTGCAAACTCACAGACAAGTGAATTCCCTTGGATCGACAATATTCATGCAGCTTTAGCTGCTGCCATACAGGGTGAAGTTCCACTTGATTGACAGCAGGAACTAGGCGTGCTACTTTCAGTAGATCTCCGAGCTTCTTTGTACTGAAATTACTAACACCGATAGCCCGAGCCTTACCAGAATCGCATAGTGCCTCCATTGCACTCCAGGTACTGGATATGTCGGGTTGAGTTAAGTTTTCAGGAGTAACACCAACTGAACCTTTTTTCAAACTGACTGGCCAGTGTATCTTCACAAATTCATCACAATTAGCAACAAATATAATGATGCCAAAATATATAACTTCAGCTATCTGACACTTAACCAAAGAGGAACAAAGAACATCAACTTTAACAAATCATCACCATATCTTAAAATTTCAAATGAAGTAGACAAAGAAGCGTTTTTTGTGTTATAAATACCAGATAGAGATCGACATAGTCAAGCAGCAAATCTTCCAAAGTTTTATTTAAAGCCTCTGGAACATCTTCAGGTAAGTGATGAGTGCCCCTGATCATCATTTCATATGTAGCTTAGATAGGGAAAAAACTAAAAAAAATTAGTCCAGCACTCCAAATCAAGAAAATGAACATTCAAGTAAAACTTTATTACTAAGTTCTTCAGATAAGACTAAATAAAAGGAGGAAATAAGGGGAAAGGAAAAACCAGAGCTTGGAGGTGATAAATAAGTCTTCACGCTTCACAACGCCGTTATCAAATAACTCCTTCAAAGCAAAACCAACCTGTATGCACCAGATAAAACACAAGTTGTATTGGGAAATTCTTAAGTTTAACGTTGAGAGTAGGGTGAATTTATTAAATCACGACTGAGAAATAAGATAAATAAATCACCTCCTTCTCGTTACCATAGAGAGAAGCGCAATCAATGTGCCTATACCCAGCCTGAATCCAACAGAGATAACAGTAAAAAGCAGATGGGATTCAAATCAAAATACAAACAAAAGAACACCCAAACGAGGGGGAAAAAAGAATATACCTTGATGGCAGTAGCGAGAGTGTTTCCAGCAACATTGTAAGTGCCGAAGCCAATGGAGGGGATCTTAGCTCCTGTGTTTAGTTCAAAGAATCTGATTTCATCAGCCATTTTCTTCCAACTATTTCAGCGAAAACAAACAAGAGAGCAACCGGAACCAGCACTTAATAGACTATAAATGGCCTGTCGTTAGTATTGGGCCGTCCCTCGTCGGTATTTACGAATTTTGAAGTAAAATTAAAAAAATCAGCCGGCTGCGGATAGTTGGTTACAGCATTTTAAGACTCCACTATTATATAATATTTCCTATTTTTAGAAAGGGTAAACTACTCAAATGGTCACTAATATTTGTGTAAGTTTTCGTTTTCAACACTAATGTTTCAAAAGTCACAAATTGATTACTAATATAATCGTTTGTTACAAATTGGTCACTCGCCGTTAACAAGTGGAAAAAACATGGACCATTAACAGCCGTCAACAGGCTTATTTGGATGGTATAATTACACAAATAGTCTATGTTATTTATATTATTTTAATTTGATCTTAGTTTTAATAAATTTACCTACAAATCAACAAGTGCATTCATGACACATATCATCATTTGATTGAAAGACTAAATTTATTTTAATTTATTTTTAATTTAATAAATTTATTTCTACCAACCATTGAAAGAAAATAAAGCAACAAAGACACAAGTGGAGGGATTCGAACATAGAACCCTTGAGTGAAATAATACAAGCCAAACCATTGAGTCAAGACAAACATTTGATATATTTTACCTTATGGTATATATTTTTTTAAATTTAAAATAAGAGTAATATATATATATATATATTAATAGTAAAATATTTAAATATATTTTAAGTTAAGATATTTAAAAAATATATTTTTAAGTGATGATAAAGATAAAATATATATTTTTACATTAGAATACAAACAAAATATATTTAATAAATTAAGACAAAAATAAAAATATTTAATAAGTTAAAACAAAAATAAAGATAATTTTAAAATTTAATATATATAACATATTATTAATTTTGAGTAAAGCATTTACATACTAAGATACAAGATATATACCATTTGTTGTCCAAAATGTATTAAATGGTTACCTTGGCTCAATGGTTTGGCTTGCATTATTTCACTCAAGGGTCTTACGTTCAAATCCTCTTACTTGCTTCTTTGTTGTTTTATTTTCTTCCAACCAGAGGGTGACACGTGTCACCCTCTGATTATTAGAAATAAATCTATTAAATTAAAAATAAATTAAATTAAATTTAGTCTTCCAATCAAATGATGAAAGGTGTGTAACCAATGACACATAGCACCTCCTGATCGTAGATATATTTATTTTAATTTATTAAATTAGGATAAAATTAAAAGAACATATAAATAGCATGGACTATTTGTGTAATTATACCATCTAGGTAAGCCTGTTAACGGTTGTTAACGGACTACGTGTGTTTTCCGTCACGCATGTTAACGGCGAGTGACAAATTTATAACAAACGATAAAGTTAGTGATCGATTTGTGACTTTTGAAACATCAGTGGTGAAAACGAAAACTTACTCAAACATTAGTGACCATTTGAGTAGTTTACTCTTTTAGAAATTAGAAAGAAGGTTGTGTTTTTTTTTTCTAATCTAAATATTACATCTCTTCAATTGCTATGGAGCTTTGGTCTTGTACGTCTAAATGTTTATGCTTTGAGGAAAAAGAGAGAGATGTTGAATCTCTAGTGAGCCTATTTATTGTAGGTGATTGGGTATACATCTTTTCTCTGAGAATTCCTTCTAATCTTCTTTAGTCCCTAAATGGATTTATCAGCACTGATGCAAGTCAGTTTTTTTAAACAAAAATTACCTGCTATAGTGCTATTTGACATTTTTCATATCTCAAATTAGTTGTAACTTATTCTCACTTTAGTCCCTTGATACTCTTTAACCCTTGCTGAATATGCAGGTTACAGCTATGTGATCATTGGCAGCCGCAAGTTCATCAGCAGGGGTTATAGTCCTATATGCAAGACAGCAAGAGACTTGGACTTATGCAGGGTTCAAAGTCATCTCCCATGCAATCAATTTGAAATACCAATAATTTTAGCATTCAACACATGGATTTTGGTTGTTATGTCATCTCAAGTCATGTTCTGGACCTTAGTCTATTCTAAAGGATCCGAGTAGCATATGCCTACAGTATAGTACATCTCCCATTTAACATGTAAATGCTTCTTTTGTTGATGATCATCTAAGAAACCTTACTATTTTCAAGGGCTGTTATCGTCCTAAAGAAATCATCGATGGGACTTGATTTCTTGAACCCATGTGGCTCTGGTCCTATGTTTGATTCTGTTAACATGCTCTTTAGAATGTTGCAGTCAAAAGACTACCGTGGTTCATTGCTCAAACATATATGGTGTCTTGCTGTGGTCTTCACTGCAGTGTAGAATTGTGGGATTGAACCCTCGTATAGTTGAATTTTATCATGTTATGCAAAATATGTTCAAACTTGAAAGCTCATGTTATATTTTAAATTTAAGTTTGAAAGATCAATTGTTTGATGAGCTATGGATTTAGTTTTACGTTCACAATTGAGTGGAGGCTGCTATAGCATTTATTTCTAGGGATGTTCCCTTCTCGGTTTTGATCGAATTACTGATCGAAACGAATTAATTCGGTTAAACAGTCTCATCAAAAAGAATCTGGCATGCTGATATACATCATCTGTACCATGCATGATTAAAAGAATCTCAAGATCCAATGCACAATTTGTGTTTTCCCATACAATTTTCCTTTTTTGTGAAGAGAAAACAAACTTCAACGAACCAGACAGGCAGATTCATTATGAACATGTTGATTCATAATCTGTTATTTGAGATGGCGACCCTTTTCTTTTTTCCCTGGGAATTCGAATGCACGCGTGCTTAAAGTGTCCTGGAATTGCATAGATGCATTGCGATCTCCTGTTTAACTTGAAGTGGTGGATTTCAATGCCAAAAAACAAGGGTGTTGTTGCTCTTTTCTTTTCCTTTTTGGTCCCAAAAGGAATATGCAGGAAACTTTTATGTCATGTAAGGAATAAAGATGGTTTGCTGCAAATGCTGAACAAAATGGTGAAAAGGGACAAGACGCCAGTTATAACACTTGTGAATTATTATGTTGGTAATAGTGCATGAAACCCAAACCAAGGGGACTCACTGCTATTATTGTTTACATAAACAAACCCTTCTAGTTTTAATTTAGTTTCATCTTGCCCTTCTCAATTTCTATTGTTTATACTTTACTCCCCTTGAGTTGATATCCTAACCAAGGGCGGAATTGGGATGAAATTATGAGAGGGGCCAAGTTGCTTATCTTTAAACTAACAAGGTTTTAAAAGGTAATTAAACCACAAAAAAGGATTGGGATTTAATTTCACTAATTTTAAATTGTCATGTCCTAAAAAATAATTAAACCAGAAAAGGTAGAGGCAAAACTTAATTTTATTTAACTTTAAAATTGATAATGTCTAAAAATATAATTAAATTAAAAAAATAGGAAGACCGAACATAATTTTAATGGTTTCAAAACTTTTAAAGACTTAAAATACAATTAAACTATAAAAATTGGAGTGAGTCATATCCTCCTTCCCCACCCAAGTGATTCCGCACTTATCCTAACTTCATCCTGCTGACTTAGGTATTACCCAACACAACTACATTAACACCTGCCAATAACTGCTTGAATTTTTATAATGGCTGATCAAAACTTTTGTGATAGATAATAAAGATTAAATGATACAAAATAAGAAGAAATAAGATAAAAATATATAAATTTACATGAAAATTTTACGATAAAAATTATGGGTAAAAAGTAAAAGATTTAGTCTACGATAAATAGCAAGAGAATTATATGATAGTACACTTATTTTTGGGACCCTAAATACATATATAAAATTGTACGGATAAAATAATCTTCAATTTAAATCGAATGTCTATTCAAAAGCCATTTAAAGATTCATATCAACTGGAGCCGTTTGCTTTCAGTGGTCTTCCCAATTATTCCTTCAATGTATATTCCAAACCTGAGTTGTTAAGTATTTTTCTTAAAAATAAGTTGTCACCATACTCTGGGCGCACGATTAGGATTTCTCTGGGTACACGTTAGTAGAGCTAACGAAAATCTAAAAATCCCCGTCGAGTCTCCGATTTTCTTCTCCGTTCATCTCGTTGTGTCCTCAGTGGTTGTTCCAGCTGCTTTTTGACTACTCCTATCGAGAGTTCCATGGATTGGAGGAAACTCTTTGGATGTGCTGCGGGGCAAAATCTGGATTTTTTCCCGCCTAGGGTTAGCGATGGGGTTACAACCGTCCATACCCCTCCAGAAGTTTATAAAACGGGTATCTCTGAATGGAGGCTTTCGCTTGTTGGGCAGTTCCTCGGTGCTGCTCCAAACTTCGCGGCTATGCAACGCATCGTGGATACTCTGTGGAAGAAAGCTATGGCAGGAAGCACTGTTCAGGTTAGTTTTGCGGGAAATAACATGTATGTTTTCTCTTTTTATACTGAATCAGCAAGAGATTAGGTCCTTGAGAATTGACCATGACACATTCTAAATAAACCGTTAATTCTTAGAAAATGAGAGCCTAATTTGACAAGATTAAATTTTGATCTCTCTAAGATTCTGATTTGGGTTCATTTGTGTAATGTCCCACTTGAATTATTTTCTAGGGCAGGCTTGAGTTATATTGCTAGTGCCATAGGAACCCCAATTTCCATGGACACTATAACTACTGCTAAAACACACCTAGAATTTGCTAAAATCTGCATTGAACTATAAGTAAACCAGGACATTCCCAAATATATTGAGGTCATTCTTAGAGATGGGAACTCCACTTCTGTTGTTGTTGAAGTACCTTGGCTCCCTGCTCGATGCAAACACTGCAATGTCTTTGGTCACTCTGAGAAAAATTGTGTTGTACTAAAAAATCCAGCTCCGGTTAAAAAGCAAATCTGGAAAATGAAGGATGATATTACCCCGATTACCCCGATTACAGTAGCTGAAAATGTTGTTTGTGGTATTGAGGTTTTATAGGAAAAAGAATCGCAAGTCTCTAATGATACCGATGGAGTTAACATGAAACCTACTGATTCATTGGGTATGACTAATAATCCTGCCTCTGTGAGTAATGAACCCAACGAAGATAAAGAAA